TACTAATAATATGTGAAAAAATTATTATTTACTTTTTATTTCGCGATTTATTATAAAAATAGTACTTCACACTGTACATTTAAAAAACTCTGAAATGTCTATAAAAATGCAAAAATATTTTAAATGTTCAGAAACATGAAGTCATGAAACACATTTTAGTATAATCTAGTTATTTTTTTCACAAAACGATTTAAAAAAATAAAGYGGTTAAGTAAGTGGATGTCACTCTGCTGTACAATACCTACGTCTTTTTCTTGTCGAGTCCGATTTATTATTTTTTTTTCTAACGCTTACTATTTAATGAACTTGGAAGCTTGGGATAATGAATTAAACGAGTAGCTCAGTTTCAGTCCATTCTTGAACATTTTCACCGATTTGATCAGTTTCTGAGTATCCATATGTGATATGTAGGTAGGTAGTCCATAGGTAGGACTGAAATCTCCAACTAATATTTTTGTGAGGCTATTTTTAAAATTAGATGTTTTTTCTAAGATTAAATCAGCGCGTTCGGGGGCTTCTATAGTTCTATATCGTTGTAATTTTACATTTTATGGTTAGGATTTAAATGTTACTTGTGTGACTAAATGCAGTGTTATCTATGACTAGGACAGCCTAAGTTATAAGTTATATTTATAAGTTAAGTACTTCGATAATTAGGTCCATTCCCGGAATTCTTGGACKGATACTAGTTTCGTCCCGGTACGTTTCTTGAAACACAAAATATCACAATGGTTTTCCACGCATTAGGTAACAAGTAACTCACTTTTATATTCTGAGAAACCCTTGATATTTTGCGTTAAAATTGTAAATGTCATGGCATTAACAGAAGTTGGTYCTGAAAAGAACCGTTTTGAGGAGCTATATGGCATGTTTAGCATGCAACCAGCACCGGTGTTGGAAGAATTAGTTCGAGGTAAATTACGACAATATAACTAATCTTGTTATTCTTGATTATTTAATATGTAATGTCATTCAAATTTGAATTTAAAATAACTAGATTTTTTTTTCAGTTGAAATAACAACTTAAAAATGTCTTTAAATAACTTAGAAATATATGAAATATTTTGAAAATTTTATCAAATATAGAAAATACTAGTATTAACATTTGGTGAAAATTGTATGCGTCAACGATAATTTATTTTAGAGTTACATCAATATCGAAAATCAATTTCTTTTGCATGAAAATTCCTGTTTTTCCTTATTTTTTTGTTTTTCTGGCGCTTTTGAAAACTACTGAGAATTTAAAAATTTGACCTCCTCTATTTACCAACTAGGTTGACTTTCCAACCGGAAAAGCTACTGATGTTAAAAATCAAAGTACTATTTCTAAAACTTATCGTGTCTACAGACACGAAAAAAAGACACACACACACATCATTATAAAATCAATACATTCATCGCTCCACTCAGAATTTAAAATATGCATTWCTTTATAAATATTTAACCTGATTATTATATTATAGTTAGGTAAAGTTTATATAAAAATTAACAGTTTAAATGTTTATAATTTTTTATTGGATTAACATCAGATCAGGCGACACTAATCTTGGACTTCCACAGGACCACAGAACTGGATTTAACTGAAACTAAGTATAGGTATACTACTGGAGTTAGAGCTCGATATTTTCACCAAACATACTCGCCCCCACATTTTTAAAGACAATTAAGGACTATTTCAAACTTGAAATAATTAAATCCTCTAAATTTAAATACAAAAATTTCAGGTCTACTCTATGAAAATGCTTTTAATAAGTAATTCAATACATTCATCACAAATGGTTAATACAATAATTAAAAAAAAAAAAAGAGCATTTACATAGTTATTCTTTGGGTGTTGGAATTTTTGACCAAGATGAAATTTATTAAAATAACAAAAAATTAGAAATCATTTCGTATTAAACAAATTATAAAAGTGTTATACCTATTCAAACCCGAATTTTAGATTCTGATCGGAGCGAGGAATGTATTGATTTGACCATAATGTGTGTGGTTTTTTTTTTTGTCCGTCATCACGTTTTGGGGCCGTAGAAATGCTACGATTTTTGACTTCAGTATCTTGTTAGATCAGAAAGTGAATCTTGTTGGTACTTTGGGGGGTCAAAAGTAAAAAATTCTCAATATTTTTCTAAATAATCGGGATAAACAAACTAAAAATTAAGGGAAAAACGGGAA